GTTAGAATACATTTACATGAGGTTTCCTTTGAATTGGAATGATTCTGGAGAGAAAAGAAAAAAACATGAACTTTTTACATATCTCCTTCTTCTAAGTGGGCACTAAACTTAGTGCTGCGAAAACAATGACTGTGTTATAGAAAAGACAGTCCCAGTGATAATAAATAATGCGGGGAGCAAAGCAAACAAGACAACTAGAAAGGGAGAGTGGTCCCCTTGTTACGCTATTTCTCTTATTTAAAGACAATTAAAATTGCATACATTCTAAAATGAGACAAACAAGACTGGTCATGGTTTCATGCTATCATATGACCCCCCCCCCGGAAGCAAAAGAAATAGTTGGAGTTGTACCTAAAAGTTCTGTTGCTGGAAGATTTTTAGAAAACCAGTTTTGTATGTTTCAGCCTTTCAAAGGAAAAACAGAACTTGGGAGTTTTCAAGGCTGTTTTAAAACTGGCAAGTTACCAACTCTGGCTATCAGTGCAAATCTGAGCAGGAAGTACTAAGGAAATTCTAAACTCATTCCCTCCCTCTGCAAGATTTTCTACATTTTCATGTGCAAGAAGTATGTTAAGGGGTTGTTCTGTTTTGCTTTTGAAGGATCTGTACATTCACATCTTTGGAAATATCCTTTGCCCCATAGGAGCCTCTCTCTTCCTCTGCCTACTCCTTAGTCCTTTGTGTTTCAAGTGTTTGCTCTTTCCATGGCACAATCAACTGGGCTCTAGCTAGACTTTGAGAGATGGGTGGTTTTCCAGGCTGCAGATGGTTGGAAACTCAGCCTGAAATCAGTGTGCAGTTGATGAATAACTCCCTACACCTGACCCCAACTTCCCACCAGGCTCTGAATACAATCTGAGTCCCACCAGCCAGAAAAACCCTGTTGGGTCCCATAGGCTAAACCCCTTTCTGCAAGATCTTCAGGGGAAGTGGATGGCCAAAGAAGGGAAAGCAGGAGGCTGATGGGAAAGCAGCATGAGTAGAAACCGTGCCCTGGATTGGTAGATAGTCTTGACCTGGTCAGGGTAAGGAGACGGAAGGAAGGACAAGCTTGCTGTGTGTGCCTGGATGAATGTTAAACTTTTGGGAAGATGACTAAAGTTTTCCAAATATCACATATGAGAGAAATACCTATTTTTCAGCAGCAAAATGTCAGTTCACTGGGCTGTGACCGTGTTTCACTCTTTCTAGCTTTCCTAGTTTGACTAAGTTGCTTTTTCAAGAACCTCCCCCCTACAAAGTACCTCAAATTCAGATTGAAATCCACCCTGGCTTTCACAATGCAATAGCAACAGGTTGGTTGCTTTGAATGGGCTATCACAAAATTACTGAGAAATATTAGGTTACAACTCAATCAAACATGATTATGGATATCATCATTAAGCTAATGAACTATTTTTTTGGATCCCCGTTTTCTGGTGCCTGGGTGGCTCAGTCGTTAAGCATCTGCCTTCGGCTCAGGTCATGATCCCAGGGTCCTGGGATCAAGTCCCACACCGGGCTCCCTGCTCGGCAGGAAGCCTGCTTCTCCCTCTCCCACTCCCCCTGCTTGGGTTCCCTCTCTCGCTGTGTCTCTCTCTGTCAAATAAATAAATCAATAAATAAAATCTCAAAAATTTGCTGATTATCCTGGGTGGCCTTCAAATAACAAATTCGTTTTGATGAAGAGTTTTTTAATCCAGCTATGTCTCTTATGTAAATATTATAACACATCACCAAGATTTCTTCTTTTCTGCCTAATCACAAATGTTTCTTTTTGAAAGTGCTTCCTTTAATAGAGGGGAAAAAATGACCAAAGGAAAACTGACATATGACAACTTTTAATGCAGAGTCTTGGAGAGTGAGCATACTAGAACAACACTGCTACAGTATAACTACCAGTTAGCCACTGGGTTTCCATTTTACTTACATGTACACTTGTCTTACTATACTATTTTAAGCATTTGGAAAATGATTCAAAGGGAGAAAAGTATAAATAACTTATTTCTAACTTCTTTTTCTTTTTAAGCAACAAAATTAATGGATTAGTTCTCATGTAATGGGTAGTAAGAGGAGCAGAGAAGGCAGGGAAGTGTCCCAAGTTTTTCTAAAACTTTAGTTGCATTTGAGGAAATGGAAACATTTCCATTTATTTAGAAATCCTACTTTCATTTTGTTTTATCATAAGAAAATAGCAGCTGAATCTAACACATATATTTAAGTAGAACGAGAAGGTTCAGTATTTTGTACTTCCTGAATGAATACAATTATAAATCTTTGAGTTCTTTAAAAACTCCATAAAGATTTTCACCCCAAATTCATGTCAGTAAATGGCTTTTTGTTGATTAGTTAAAAACACCTGAATTTGCAGGACAGCTTAAGTTATGATGTCCCCAGAATATTTTATTGTCAACCACAGAACTCTATTTTTATCAACCATAAGTATTCTTTATATATCAGGCATCATTTTAAATAGCTATGAGTTTAAAAATGGACTATAACTATAAGCCAAGGCTAGAAGGACAGTAAATTTTGTGAATTCCACCAAGGCTTACCAAATAAACATGAGCAGCATGTATTGCCTTCAAAAAATAGTATAGATTATATTTTAAGATATAAGTATAAAAGGAGCAAAAACATGATACTGAAATAACCTAGCTGTTTTCATGCTATCCTGGGTCATGATAGTACTTTCTTACAGAGTATTCATGCTGTCAGAAAGTCCCCACATTTTAGAGTATGATTGACCCTTCTTCTTCCCATTCCCTGTGTGCCCAAGTTTCAAACCAGGGCACGTTTTCACATCTTCAGCTTCCAGGAATGTTATTAATGTCTGTCATTTCGTAACTACTGTAACAGTATTCGACAATGTCACAGCACTGTCCCGAAATTTTACAACATAATAATCAATATGAACTACCACAATAGCCAAAGTAGCCGATCTTATATTCCCTACCACCCTGATCTGATTACCCGAATATCAGCTTAGGTCACCTAATGGACCTAGCTTCTTTAAAAATGTTCCAGAAGTTGATGGCTTTGACTAGCTTGAAAGTAACAAGATCCAGATGCCGCCTGTCTACACAACACTAAACTACACAGGACCCCAAAACAGATTTTTTTTTTAAATTCCCTCTATATTTTTCAGGCTCTCCTCTTTTCCCTCACCACTCCACTTTCTCTCTTTACCCCAAACTCTCTCTCTCTCTCTCATAAACACACACGCACACGCACACGCACACGCACACTTCCCATCAGTGTAGCTCATCCAGCATCCTGTCCTTAATATAATGTGCACGACATTATTTCCTGCTAGTAATAAGTTAAAAGAAATTTCGAGCAGGAAAGCAATTAATCCATTATTCCGTTCATTTTAATCTAAAGTTTCCTCTCTGAATATACTTCATAGTAAAAAACAAGGACCAAAAAGAAAGCGTGAATTTTGAAACATTTGGAAAAATTTAGCCAAATGAGTAAAAGGGATGGAATGTCCGATATTTTTCATGGAACCCTTGGGCTTGTTTTTGTTTCTTTGGGGGATGAGAAGTGACTATAAATTTCCTCTTTTTAACTTGTCCTTGCTTTGCCATTTCCTTGACGAAGGCAGGCAGCACTCTGGACCCAATGCCCCAAAGAGTTAAAACTCAAGGCACTGGAACAGGAAGGCTGGTCTACTTAAGCAGCAGCCGCACAAACTAAATGCTCGCAAAGGCAAAAAGCAACGCAGGAGTCGACCTTGGAGGGGCAGGGCGAGTCATAGAGCGATTGAAAAAGAAAGGAAAAACAGCAACAATTTTAAATATAATTCTGAAAGTCTGCTGCTTGGTCTGGTTTACAAATAGGCATTGTTTGATGAGACAGAATAAGTAAGAGCTAACTACAGCATGAATTACCAAACACTAATCACATCAACGAGTCCCGGTGACAGCACAGATCACTCAGGCACGCCTTGTTCACTCTGGGCATATTTATTTATTAAGAAGACAGTGGAGTCTGGCTAATGTGATACAAAATAATATCATCTGTAAAGAAATACAATCCATGCGAAATCAATCCATCCGATCAAAGTGGTAACCCTACCAACAACCCCACCCCCCCACCCCCCTGAATCAGGTCCAATGTAATGGACAAATTGGAGCAGTGATTTCACACCTGAGAGTCTTTCATGTCTGAACTGCAGGATAAAGTTCATGGTTGGCACTGCCCACTGCTTAGTTGTGTGGGCTTGCCGCTGGCCCTGTAGTGATCATTTGTGCACACACAGAAAGACTCAAGTATTTAACCAATTCACGTCCAATTATCATCAGTTACATTTCATCCTGTTTCAAGACCCAGGCCTCCGGATGGCAGCCAACACAGAAAAACAGAGCTTCTAAAAGTAAAGAACATCACTGGAAAAGCTCTAAAATGCAGTCTCTAGCGTTTCAATCGTCCTCAATATAAAATCAAATATGTAAGGCAAATAAAAAAAAAAAAAAACACAAAAACACACCCAAACAAACTCTAAGGGACTTTAGTTAGCTGGACTATACCTTCCCACATCCTTCTTTCATCCTATACTCAGCGATTAAAAGTTTGAGTTGCCCCCACCCTGGTGTGTCCTATCCAGTGGGAAAAAACCTTGTAGAGCCGCAAACAAAGAACAGCTCACCAGAAAAGCCCCTGAAATTGTATTCTTGTGCCTGATCATCACTGTTAACGATCTCCTTTCTAACAACCCTGTCCATCTGCAAAGCACTTTACTACGGATATCAGGAACATTTTTATGTTGCCAAATAACAACAAAGGGACCCGAGCGAAACTATTATCTCTCGGAAAAGAGAAAACCACCCTCCCAGGGCTTGCTTTCTTCTTAGAGTCTCCTCTGCCTCATTAACTCCACTGGTATGTTACTAATTTCAAAGAACCAGGAAGAGGTGATGGGGAAGGGGAGGCAAATAGTAATTCACATGCCTGTCTGTTTCCCATTCCCAGTGCAGAAGGATACCACACTGCTTGCCAGACTGTGGGTCGAGCCATACCTTGGTTTGGAGATAGTGAGGATAGTAGTAAGTGTACTGGGGGTACATTTGTGGCTGATCCAGGCGTTTGCCCATGTAGCTGGAATCTTTATCTCCGAGGCAGGGAACTGGATGACAGGGTATAGTGCCCCAGGCCGAGCTTCCTCTTAAACCACTATTCCTGACAGTCCCGATGACTGATGAGGCTTCAGAGATCCCTCGTCTTCCACCACTCACTAGTTCCAACACGGCAAGAATTTAAAAAAGAAACACACGAAAAAAAAAAAAAAAAAAAAAAAAAAGAAAAAGGGGGGGGTAGGGGGAGGAAAAAAAAAAAAAAAAAAACACACACAGCCTCCCAGATCGTGCTTTTCTTCCCCCAGCTGCTAGGGTCCACTTGGGATGAGGCAGTTTGTTCTCTACCGGGCTGTCTGGAGTGATGTCAATTGCCAGCGTTTGTAAAGAGAGAGAGAGAGAGAGAGAGAGAGAAAAAAAAAAAATCAAAGTCCTTTTAGCACAACTCCGAATCCTTGCAGATCAGCTTCCTGTCTCCTGTTTGTCTCTTTCCCCACCTTAAAGAAAAAGAAGAAAAAAAAAAGAAGAAGAAGAAGAAAGAAGGAGAAAGGAAGAAGAAACAGGGGAAAAAAAAAAGAAAGAAAGAAAAAGAAGGGGGGAAAGAAAAAGAAAGAAAAAAAAAAAAAGCCTCGCACAGCTTAGCTGCTGCTGTCTCCCTCCCAGAGTGACATGGTGTTCGGGGCTTGTTCTGTCCTTTCATTCACTTCCCCTCCTTCCAGCCGGTGGGTGGAACCGAGAGAGCCTCTCCAGGGAGCCGCGGACGCAGTCCAGAAGGCTGCAGTATTTCCTCCAAGAAAAAAAAAAAAAAAAAAAAAAAAAGCCTGCTTCAACCCCTGCTGCAAGCAAAGTTCCGATTCCCTCTGCTGGCTATCTCGAATAGCAAAGCAATTTTTGCAGCAAAGCTGCTGCCGCTGGAACTGAACCCGGGCAACTCAAATGCGGGCGGTGGATTATTTCTTATCCTTCCCTCCATCTACCCCACCCCAAGAGCTGCCTTCTTTTTTTTTTTTTTTCTTGCCAAGTTGCAAGGTAAGCCACACTGCTAAACAAAACACAGAAGACCACGGGAGGGAAGAGAGCACGAAGAGAGGGGAAGGAAGAGAGAGACAAAAATAAAAGCAGAGGGACAACCCTTGCTGGTTAAAATGGAAAAAGTGTGTCCCGGATGCTTTCAAAACCTGTTCAAATACGAAAGCCAGATGAATCCAAGACCTGGTTCAGAAACTAACCTTATACTTCTCGGAAGACACAGAGGATGCTAAGTATTGGAAGAAATTTGAGAGGCTACTCCAGGACTCCTGTGGGCAAGCAAGCCATGCATCATCAGCTCACAATGGCCAGCTTCCCATAGCAGAAATGATCATTCTTATCCTTACATCCATTTTGTAAACAGCAAAGGAGGAATCCCATCAGTTTTACGGGTGTCTTTACAAATAAAATCAGGGGTTCTCTAGCTGTCTGCCTCTTTATGATTATTTTGATTCATGGATGCTTTAATCACTTTATTGATATCATCACAAAAAATAATCATAATTACTTGGCCGAGTTTTCCCCCACCAATAGTAAGTAACATCCGGACATGTCTATAAGCTCTTACACTATGGTACACATTGTTTCAGAGAAAATATATTTCCTTTAAGGGTCCCTTTTCAAGGCAGTCCAGGCTAAAATTAGACATGCCAGCCATGTTTTGCTGTGAGTGCTCACTCATGCCCAAAGTGTGGGCAGACCAATACTGAGCACCTCTCCACTTTGTCAAACCAGCCCTGTTCTCCCCAGCCCGGAGTTGCCTTCTCAGATAAGAGGTTCCTGGTACAAATCCAGCTTCCTAGTGAAGAAGAACAGAGATTTCCAGCCCAGTGTACAATATGGTGTCCATCCACATTCCAGCCCTGCCACCCCTGAAGTCACTGGCTTCTCCTAGGGGTCTGATTATTGGAAGCTGTGTAAGTGCATGGTTGTTTCTTGGAGAAAGATAACGATGGTGGGTAAACAGTTTTATGCTTGACTTTTGACAAGAACAACAACCAGAAAGAAGGAAGGAGAGAGGGTGGGAAGGTATGAGTTAGAAGCCCTGATATCACTGTCATTAAGAGAATTAAATCAACTCCACCAACATTGAAATGTGTTCTTCTGGGCCTCACTTGTCCCATGCAGAAAGTGGAAATGCTGCCAATTTATCTGGCTGAAGGTGGTAAACTGAATCAGATACTAAATCAAAACTATATTGTTTTAAAAATCATCCAGTGACATCTCATTGCTCAGACAATAAAGTCCTGACTCCTTAGAATAGTTTTTAAGACACTGGAAAACCCAACTTCATCCTCCAGACTCAGACAGTAAACTCTGCCCCTCACAGTCTATTACCTGAGTCACAGTGAAATGCTTTTGAACCGGAATACGCTCTCTCAGGGCGTTCCATCATCTGCTCTGCCCCAGAGTGGTCTCGCATCCACATTCAGCCCATCCTTCAGCTCTCAGTATGGATACCACCCCTCGCTCAGAGGAGCGTTCCCCGAACCCTCACTTCCCTGCTGCACCTTATATTTGCCCTAATAGATTGCTTATCCTGGGCAACTGCCTGTTAATAGCATTTTCGTTTCTTCTATGATGCCCTAAAAGCATCAGGAAAAGCAGGAAAGTAGGAGGTCCCATCATTCTCATTCACCTTCATATTTCCAAAAACTGTCATGGAATCTGGCCCAAAATGGATGCTCTGCAAATTTTAAACAACAAGGTATCTTACAAATGATAAGAATTCCAACCCAACTCATATCCTTCTCTCACTATATTTTAGTACATTTCCAGATGCAGGGGCTAGAGTGATAACACAGATCAGAACAATGTCCATCCCTCATAGCATATGTATTCTAGTGAAGGAGACAGGCAAGTAAACAGGCCATATAAATAAGGTTAAATGTAGTACTGTTCAGAAATATAAAGCTAAGTAAAGAGAAACAGAGTCACAGGGATTCCACTTTCAATAGGATAGTCAGGAAATGCTCACCAGGAAAGAGCTGGGGGGTTAAAGGAAGACTGGGAACCACACCCTGGGTATTGGGTATTATGAGAGCACTTCTCGTGAGAGCCCTGGCTCCCGCCCAAACTGCCTTTGTTCCAATTCTGCCTCTGCCAGATCACTCTGCCTCCTTTCCCCATCCGTCCAATGTCACTACACACTTCATACCGTTACCATGAGAATTCACCAGGACTAACATGCAAAGCATTTATAACGCCTTGGAACATACCAGATCTGCTCAATAAATGTCAGCTTGTATCTGGGGGGAGATCATCCCAGACAGAGAGAACAGTAAGTAAAGAAGGCCTGGCAGCAAGAACATGTCTTTGACGTGTACAAGAAATGGCACAGGGGCTGAAATGGAGCAAAGAGGAGTAAAGACTATCAAACGAGACTGGAGAGGTACCCTGGGCCAGATCATATAAGCCTTAGCGGGAACTTGATGAGGAAAGCTAAATTAATGACAGTTAATAGTACAGCCAGGACTCTATCCAAGTATTCTGACTGCAGATCTAGTCATCTTCAACTATAGAATGCAGTCTTCCAAAATGACTTACTGAGGTTCCTCCAAAAAGCAAGACTTATAAGATCAGGATCCTTGGTTGCTGCTGGCAGTTTTGCCACTATGAACAAAGGATACCAGTATTCTTTTATTAACAACTGGCCTAGCTACTCCTTGGAAGGAAAGGAACAGTGTCTTATTTACAAATGAAAGACCAAATAAATAACTCCTCAACCCAAGCTATAGCTCACTTATATGTAAAGTCCCAGCATGCGTTGATGCTTTCTGCAATTTCTACACAAATTGCCACTTTCCAAAATGCTATTCTATTTCGTTGGATTATTGCTATCTTCTTGGCATCAACTGTCATTAGCCTAAGCACACTCACTGAACATTTAAAGTTTTTCTTAAATAATGCAAAGACAGTTTACCACTTGTGAGAATTGTAAAACCTGTGTTTTATTTATTTTTTTTTTCCTTCAGAGATACCAGTAGCCATCACAATTGAGGAGGCAAGATACTCATGTCAGAAATGGTTCTTACATCATGTCTGTCTGCTCTGTTGGAGAAGTAGCACTTTCCATTTAAATGATCAAGTTAAGGTAGGCGGTAACTAATTTAAGGCACTCTCTAAATCAGAAGCCAGCTGTGTCCCATTTGCCAACTAACAAATAAATTTTGTACAAATCCAAGAGCAGCAAACTGCATCAAAGAGCATGGACTCTTACAGATTCACGGGATTCACAGCAGAGACGGGAGAGGCACTGATTTAAGACAAGTCCTTGGTTACTAGGGTAGAGACAACATCTCAGACATACCACCCAGAGATAGAGAAAGTAATGGTACTGAAACGAGGGTCAACTGGGTAGAGATGGAGATTCTCTTCTGGTTTGCTCTTGACCTATCCACTCAAAGAATAACTGGGTCCTCTCTTTGGGTGATTTATCTCTTAAATGACAAAGGCATAGTCAATAGCAAAAGAAAAGAACAGTAGAGAGAAAAGCAAAATAATAATAAGAAGAAGAAGAATTGTGCTATCTTTAAAAGCAAGTATACTATTCTATCTTCAAGACATTCATGACCTTGAATAAATTAGAACAAACAAATAAAACCACAATTTGGTATTTGTTGCCCTCTTCATTCAAATTTGTGAACTCCCTTTCCAACACAGCAGTTGCCAAAGGGGTATTAAAGATAAGACGTAGTTAAAAAAAAAAAAAAAAGACAAGATGGTAGATCACAAACTCTGATAGTAAAGTAGTGTTACAAATGTCTTTTCTCCTACTGGATACTTAGCCAGGGCTTAGAAACATACCTGAGACAAACTAGGAGAAAGAGACCACTAATGATGGTCCAAATTTGAACTATAATTAAATGTAAAATTTTAATGTAGATAAAGACAATAAAAAATGGCCTTGGAAGATAATTTCAAGCTTCAGAGCAAAATTATAATGCACTATATCTCAAGATAGTCAATCAAATAGAAGAGCAAGAATAATTTAAAACAATGAACATTATTAATTTCAACAAAGTTTTACTGAGCATTTACTATGTGCCTAAATAAGCAAGAATACCAATATAAAAATTATCACCCTTGTCCTCAAGTAGACTTAGCATCTCAGTATCTATCAAATATCAGTCATTCATAAATGACCTAAATGCCTTTCCTCTTAGCTGAATACCAAATTTTAATAATAGATATTAAATAATTTTCTTTAAGTTGACCCAATTTTTGAAATACCATACTTCATTATAAATCTAAGCCATGATATACATGAGAACCCATATTTATTTTGCTTTTATTATCTTTTTAAAAGATACTTAACTATCCTTTTCCTCTTTACATACATTTTTCATAGTACTTAATACTGTGGTAGTCACATACATTTCTCCTTTACCACTAGGATTACCAGGACTCACATTTCTCCACTTCACTGGAATTAGGCATGACCATGTGACTTGCTATGGCCAATAAAATATAAAGCAGAAGTGACGTACGTACAAACTTTTAACTGCCG